CCCAGGTGTCACCACCCCCCCAGACCCTGCCCCCCCTCCTACACCCTCCCCCAGGCCAGAATCCTCTCCTGCTCCCACACCCCCTCCCTGACCTACACCCCAATCCCCTGACCCAAGTCACAACCCCTTCCTCCACCCAAACTCCCTCAGACCCCAAACCCTCTCCTGCACCCCAGTCCCTTACCCTGTGCACCCTTCTGCATCCAACCTAGACCCCGCATCGCCTCCGCAAAAAAGTGCAGCCCTTGACCACTTACCAAAACCTTGGAGTGGCCCCTCACCAAAAATGATTGCCCACCCCTGCCTTAGCCAATAGGAAATAACTGTTCACTCACAGCGAATGCACAGTAAAATGCCAATGGATTGCCAGTAAAATGGCTCTCTATTGTTCTGTCTTATTTTCTTTGCTTTCCCCTTCGAAAAGATGCAAATAAACACCAGGCTAAGACTGAAAATACCACGGTAAATGTCTTGAAGTGATCCATCACCGTAGTATTCCACGCGGATCCACAGCTGTTCAGAGCTGAGAGCGCTCCCCACACTCCGCTCCCTCCCCCAGCTGTTGCCCCAGCCTCGGCCCCCTCACCCCCTGTCCATGTTACCCCCTGGAGCCAGGAAGGGGGGTGTAGACAGGGGCAATGGAGCATTCAAGGTAAAAAGTTTAGAACCCACTGTGGGTTGGGGTCTCCCTCTTTCCAGTTCTCTGATGGCAATCAAGATCCACTGAGCTGCTTTGTTAGTGGATTTTCAAAGGCTAGAAGCAGGGCTCTATTGGCAGAGGGCTCTTGGCTCTCAATTTGCTTTCAGAGCTTGTCTGTTGCCCCTGAGGGTCTGGTGTAGGGCGCATCGGTTCACTCTGCCTTCTGCAGGAAAAGGCAGACGTGGCTGTAGCAGGGAACACAGGGAGGACGGAAGGGCTGGTGCCGAGGTCCATGTAATTCCTACTAAAGCACCATCGAGCTGTTTAGTATTTTTCAGTTTTGGACACAAGCCATTCACCTGCCCCTGTGCACAGGCGAGGAAGGCACACGCACCCCCCCCCCCATGCAGGTGGATGGATATCGGGGTGCAATTCACACACCCTGATTCTCTCCCGCTTGCCACCCTGTCTGGTTGATCTGAAACTTGCATTGTGTTTTGCACCCCGCTTACAGGCCACAGCGGAGGCTAACAACTTAGCAGCCGTCGCCACGGCCAAGGACACCTACAATAAGAGGATGGAAGAGGTAAGGTAACGGCTCATCACGGGCATCAGGCGTTTTCTCTGATGTAATAACACCGCATGTGATCCTGCCTTCACAGGGCAGTTTGGGAAGCAGTGTCGGGGCGCGATTTACCTCCATGTCGGGGAGCGATTTACCTCCATGTCGGGGAGCGATTTACCTCTGGGTCAGGGAGCGATTTACCTCCGGGTCAGGGAGCGATTTACCTCCGTGTCGGGGAGCGATTTACCGATCCAAACGTCTCAGTCGGCTTGGCAGACGTTTTAGCGTTCCGTCTCTCCGCCAGCTCACGTGCTAAGTGAAGTGCCCCAGACATACATCCAGGGCTCGCTGCTTCTACTCCTGGGTGGGGAAAAAGGAGCAGCTTCAGCAAGTTACGTGAGACGGCGGCTGTCCCCATAGAAGCCAGGGTGGATCTGAGATCTCTGAGCTACGCTGACGAGAAGTCTCTATAAAAGCTGGGTGTGTTATTAATTGTTGTTAATCACCCCAAAGTAGGACAGTCTGATTGTAATGGTCACTGGCCTTCTGAGCAAGCCCATGACCCTGCTGCCTTCCCTTAGCCCTCGGAACAGCATTCTGTGCCCCTCTCTCCCCGAACGTGCACAACAATCTTGAGCAGCTGTACGTGAATTAAAATCAACCCCCCCTTAAACTAGTAAAACAGGAGGAGCTGCTTTTTCCTATGTAAGTTGCTTGCTTGGGGGAGAGCTAAGAGATTGGAGGCCAGGCGAAATGCAGAAGGGGTGGGTTGAGATCCTGGGTTGAGATCCCAAAGTAAGAGGCTGTCAGACAACACTCTGAAAATAAAACTCTAACTTAAATATCTGTATACCAGGGCAAGAGGTTTAAAAGCCAAAATACATGCACTAGAACGGCTGGCAATGGAAGGGGATGTGAGTCAGGTGTCTGTTGTTGGACTGTTGTCGTCTTGAGTTTGCAGAGAGCCTGAACCAATAGCTTTGAAAGGGGTAAATTGCTTTACTAGTCATCTCTAAAGGAGAAAAACTGATATGCTAGTGGAAAAATCTGGCTATCCTGTGCTCCCCAGTGCTGGATTATGGTAGGCCTGGCCCACGGTGACAACAGAGGGCTGTGTCGGAGCCCCACACCAGCAAAACTGTGAATTATAGAATCACAGAATGCGAGAACTGGAAGGGACCTTGGCAGGTCATCAAGGCCAGTTCCCTACCCTCATGGCAGGACCAAGCACCATCTAGAGCATCCCTGATAGATGTCTATCTAAGCTGCTCTTAAATATCTCCAGTGATGGGAGATTCCACAACCTCCCTGGGCAATTTATTCCCGTGTTTAACCACCCTGACAGTGAAGAAGTTTTCCCTAAAACGTAAACTTCCCCTGCTCCTCCTGTGAAGGAGGACTTGCAGCAGCAAGAACCCTTCCCGTTCCCCACCCGTTAAGTCTTCTGCTGGACCGATGTCGGGGGGTATCTCAGAATAGTGGGTTTCAGAGTTCATAGACTCCCAGGGCTGGAAGAGACCTCAGGAGTCATGGAGTCCAGCCCCCTGCCCAAAGCAGGACCAACCCAACTCAATCATCCCAGCCAGGGCTTTGTCAAGATGGGACTTAAAAACCTCTAGTTAAACCTGTAGTTAAACCTCTAACGTTACCTCCCTCTCAGAGCCCTGGGTTCAGGCTGTCTGCAGACTCAGGAAGTCTTGACTGTATCCGTTAAACTCTGGGCTTATTTCAAGATTTTTAGTATCCCCATGAGGGCTAGACACATAGATTTCTTACCCAAAGAAGGTTTAGAATCCAGTGTTACCACGTGCTACTAGGCGTTTGCTTCCTCTTGCCAGTAATGCCTATGCTTTAATTTGGCCCTTGTTAATCCCTTAATCCTCAAGCAACCCCCAAACCTTCCCAGGTGCCAAGAACCCAACCTGCCTCCATGCAGCTGCCAAGCCTCCAGCCTCCCCTCCATCCTTCCAGGAGGCCTGGCTACGTTTTTCAGTACGAAAAATTGCAGCACATTGAAAATGGGGAAGTTAAGGAGACTGCTACCATGGGCTTCCACGTTCTGAATGTGAGAGATGCTTCTGCAGAATTTCTAGCAGCGCCCTAGAGTGCCACAGATTCTGGGCAGGTCAGGTTAGGTCCAAATTGCTGCATAATAGTATCCAGGACCTTGCCATGTAGTTAACAATTGCTGGCCAAATAAAATCAGAGAGCCTGTAAAATCTCCTGTTCTCTGCTATCCAGTTTCTTGGCCTGTTCAGTCACCAACAATGTGCCCTCATATTTTCCATCCATGTGTGGAATAATTTTGTGTGCACTGAGGCACACGTGAATGTGCACCACCCATAGAAACAAAACCTAGCTGTGCGTGTGCCGATAATCATCTGGGGAGCACTGGAATTTTCTCCTGGGTGGCTGCACAAGCGCACAGCTTACGGGGAACACTGGTCGCCAGTCTAGCTTCATGTGCATCTTTTAAGAGCGTCTCAAAAGATGAGCTGAAGAGCTTGTACCTGCCAAGCTCTGCATGCCAAGGTTCACTGCTACCACCAGGAGCAAAGCGAGGAGCTAGATTCCGCTAGGTGCGAGTGACATCGCACAGCATGTGTGGCTGGGGAACCGGCAGCCTGAGCCCCAGACCAGCCAGGTAAGTGCAGGAGGAGCTGGCTTCCAAAGAGTTTGGGGCCAACCCTTGCAAAGGGGTGTAGCGTGATGAAGCGCTAGGACTGATTAGGGGGTAGCACCAGCGTAGGGGGCTACCGTCACTGTGATGGAGCACCAATCCATTGGGACTAACTGAACTGTGGTCTCTGACTAGGTGTGTGGGGGTGACAAGCCGTTTCTCGCACCCACTGACCTTCAGAACAAACACCTGGCGCTCAAGGAGGAATCCGTGAGGCTGTTCCGAAGCGTTAAGAAGATGGGTGGGGAGGAGTTCAGTCGCCGCTACCTGCAGCAGCTGGAGAACGAAATAGACGAGCTCTATGTACAGTACATTAAGCACAATGACAGCAAGAACATATTCCACGCTGCCCGCACCCCTGCCACACTCTTTGTGGTCATCTTCATCACGTACGTGCTGGCCGGAGTGACCGGCTTCATTGGCTTGGACATCATCGCCAGCCTGTGCAACATGATCATGGGGCTGACGCTTATCACGCTGTGCACCTGGGCATATATCAGATACTCTGGGGAATACAGAGAACTGGGAGCAGTAATAGACCAAGTGGCGGCAGCTTTGTGGGACCAGGTAAGATCGTTAGCGTGTGATTAAAACAGCCATTCGTTGGCTTGGGACGCCCGTCTCCTTTTGAAATAGCCTTCTGAGCTCCGTCGGGCCCCGGTCCTGCGGCGGTGAGTCACCAGGGTTAGCGCCTGGTAGGCCACCACTGTTCTATTTACCTGCACCTCCGCAGGTACAGGTGAGCACAGCTCCTGTTGGCCGGGAATGGTGATCCGTGGTCGAGGGGAGCTGTGTTCCCCTGTACCTGTGGAGTTGCAGGTAGATACAGCGGGGTGGGGCTAGCCCTGGCAGACTGGATCTGGCCTGTGGGCTGGTATTTGCCCACCCTGGCCTTAGATAATGGCCTATCCCTTAGCTTCCAGCGCCACTTAAACACCCCATTTTAACCCATTGCAGACCGTTTCTTTAGACCTTCCGTACACTGGCTGCACTTGCCCTAGATGGTAGGGAAGGCGCGGACAGGAGACTTCTTTTCCGTCTAGTTTATGGCGACGCGTGGAAGGGTGAGAAGAAGTCTAGCGCCTGCTATGTGGGCCCAGAGCAGAGCCCTCCCATGAGTAGAGTGAGCTGGAGGGACCCGGGATGCCCGAGCTTGTACTAATGTACGACAGCACGAGCCCTTGCACCCACAAACACCACCTCCTTGTGCATCCTGCACAGTGTAAATCCTGGGAACCTGGCTGTGAAGTGCAGGCTGGCAGGAGACAGAGACGGGGGAGCGCAAAGGAACAATGAGACGCTGCCGGGCAGCATGTTAGACGGTGGCCATGCAGGTTTGCAACAATCCTTTGTCCCTTTGCCTTCGACGGGACGATTTCTGTGGGTGACGCACGTGCGTGAATATTAGCTCCGGCAGGGGCTACCCCAGCGATAACTTTTCAAAAGCAGGGGGGCCTTTTGCTCTCCCAGGGACCAGGGCTGGCATTAGCTCCCTCATTTCTATCCCGTGTGCAATAGACTTTTTATTTTATTAGGGCTCGGAGTCGAACCCAAACGAGCTTTCGATTCATAGGCTCACCTTAGATGAGCTGCAGTGTCAGGAAATAATTTCCGCTCTGTCCAGCAACCTGACCCCCGTGTAAATCTTTGAAAGCCCCAGCTTTGGTGGGGGACAAACCTTTTACACTTCCGAAGTGATGCGGGGCAGCTCTTCTGGCCGAGATGATGAGAGCCCCACGACGTTGTTGCGCCATAGCACATGGATGCAGTTGTAACCCACACACCTAAGGTATGTCTAGACTACAGGGTTTTGTCGACAGAAGTTTTGTCGACAGATACTGTCGACAAAGCTTCTGTCGACAAAGAGCGTCTAGACTACATCCAGTTCTGTCGACAAAGAGTGTCTAGACTACATCCAGTTCTGTCGACAAAGTAAACCGCTTTGTCGACATAATAGTGTGGACGCAAAGGACAGTGTAGATGCAATAACGCCTTCTGGCGACAGAACTCTGTCGATAAAAGACGTTATTCCTCATAGAATGAGGTTTACATACGTTGACAAAACTGCTGAGTTTTGTTGACATTATGTCGACATAACTCAAATGCTGTGTGGACACAGGTATAGTTTTGTCGACAAAAGTCCACTATTGTCGACAAAACCCTGTAGTCTAGACATACCCCTAGTGTGGTTACTGAGCAATGCAAGTGGTACCTAGACCACAGCAACAGTTAAGATCAAGAGACCTCTACAGCACGGGCTGGGAGCCAGCTGGCTTTTAGCTCAGAGGGTAGAGGCTCCTATAGTGAGGTCCCAGGTTCAAATCCATCTTGGTTGTGGTTACACAGTCACAAGAGGGGTCTATGGTGGGCAGGTTTCCATGTACATAAGGGGCTTAATCTTGCAAGGCAGAGTTGGGATTAAACATTGTATTTGGCCACCTGCCCACAGACAGTGGTGGGAGTTTTACCGTTCAACAGGACTAGGCCATGCTGACATAATTCAAGGGATGTGGGTCACTTGAAATCTAGTCAGTTTATGGGAAGGAAAAGAAGCAAAAAGTTGCTGTCTGCGCCCAGGGTGCGGTTCTACAGCTGTTTGCCTAGTTCACAAACCCACCACCCTCTTCTCTGCGCCGTTGTGCAAGTCCCACCCAAACAGCAGGCGCACGGACTGGCCGTCCCGGGAAGAGTGACAGGGATGACACAAGGCGCTGGCAGACACACGGCCGAACCAGAGAAACCGCCTCTTTCCTGTAACTCGCAGCGCTAGCCCCCTCGCTAGGGAACGAACTGGCCAAGTACGTGTTTGTAACCGATGCTTCTGCATGACAGGTGGCATTCCCCACCCCCCGCCCTGAGGTAGGTTAACCAAGCGATGGGCACAGCACATGAGTGTGTTCAACCCTTTTAAAAATCCACCCGTCTTCCTCCCTTTATGAAACAAGCCACTGCCGTCTTTCTTGGGGCCCGGTGTCCCTCTATGAGCCCATCCCGGTTGCTGTCTTCTGTACTTCGGAGGCAAAGCCGCCCGGCCGTGAGTCACTGACGGTTCTGCTAGAGGGGCAGATACTAGGGATGTCAGCGACTAATCGACTAGTCGATAAGCAAAAGCTTATTGGATAGTCAACATATTAGTCGACTAGTCGCTTCCCCCCTTGCTGCCTCTATCACAAAGAGGCAGCAAGGGGGGGGGGAAGAAGGGGGAGCCGGCTTAAAAGGCAGTTCCCCCCAGCTCCATGGGTGGGGGCAGGGGCGCAGCGGTGGCACTTCCTCTTTGAAATGTACAAGAGCCCCCGCTGGGGGTCTCGTCCATTTCGAAGGCGGAACGCGCTAGTCTTTATCGACTAATCGAATAGTCGATGGAAATCACGTCGACTCGTCAATGAATCAATATTTAACATCCCTAGCAGATAGAGCTGCTGCTGGCTCTGGAATTAACCCCCCACCACCCCAAGTCTGCCAGTAGTTTTAGTTTTTACAGCACACTTACCCAAGTACCAGTATTGCCAAGAATTAGTCTCCTCGCCTCCAACGACGAACGGGGGTTGCCACTGGAAGGTCTAATTGCACTTTAATTAGGAGAAGCAGGGCAGCCGTACTGATTCATTTTAACTACCCTGCCGGCCACTTGAATTGAGCCAGGGCTACTGCCGGCCCCACTTCCAGGGAAGTTTCGCTGCAGGCTCTGCCGCCAGCTCCCAGGGAGCCAGTGTGTAACCTGTGGTGGGGGGAGGCCAATCCAGCCTGCCCCGGATAGAGGCTGCTCCAGCTCCTACTGGGTAACCCGTTAACCTTTTACCTCCCGAGTTCAAATTGGAACCCGGGTCTTTAATCAACGTAGGGAGCCCCACCCCTCCCATAACCAGCTGGCCCGCCAGCGCTGCATTTGGGGCCTGGGTGGAGCCGACCCCTTGTGGAATAGGTCTCATGGCTGTAGCGCATGAAGCTAAGGGAGCGCGATCCAAAGGCGGGACTGCATGGAAGGCCGGGATTAATGGAGAAGGGCCATGGAGGGAGTTCTTAGCCATGAGAAAACCGTCTAAGGCAAGCTACCGTAGCAGCCAGGGGCGGTGTGAGCACAGCTGCATGCTGTCACATTCCCTAGGAGGTGCGTTCTACACAGAGATGCTGTTTTTTCCCTTTTCCAACTGCCTATCCTCCAGGGAAGCACGAATGAGGTAAGTGACTGGCCTTGACCCCAGCCTGCACTGGTCGCATGCTGTGCTGCTTTGCTCTGTCTGCAAAACCGAGATTGCTCACACGTACAGGGAGCACAGGTCACGGCTCTTCACGAGGCATGCCTAGCAACGCTACAGCCTCGCTCAGCCCCGCTGGGCTCTGCAAACAGACTCCCCCCCGTTGGTCTCCAATTCCCAGTTAGATTGGGTGCCCGGCTCCTTTCAGCACGTTTGAAATTCTCACCCGCTGCTTGGCCTTGCCAGAGAGTTCACCAGCCAAGTCACTGTGGAACACAGCATACAAGTAACAGAGATCAAGACAAGCAAATCTGCATGACCAGGGTCCCTCCAAGCATAGCAATAGAGGGTCCAGATCGTGCAATCAGATTCACGGGCCCGTGGAGCCTCTTGCATAGACACGAGTCTGTGCCTATAGCTCCAATCCCAGAGTCAGGGCCAAAAGCATGAGGAAGACCTGAGCTACATAGGAGAAGAAATGCAGGACAATAGAGGAGGGGAAGTTATTAGTGGACATGGGACAGGAATTGCATGTTTTTGCAAGGCAGGAGTTTTGATGTTTTTAAAGTCTGGGTTAAGTTCGGTGGAAGAGATTGCTGATGCTGACATGGGTATGAATTCATTTACAAGTTTGACACTAACAACTTGGGCTTGAATAAAGATATTAACTGGTTAACGCACTACAAAGGCAATTTCCCCCACCTTTGATATTCGCATTTCCACATCAAAAGTTATGAATGGGACACATCAGTCTGACTCAATTAGCACCATTAAAACTGGTTCTACAGCTGACAGATAACTGCTTTTGCTGTTGTATATACTCTGGATTTTGTAATTTCCAGTCCAACTCAGCTGATGATGTTTTACCCAGGAATGCTCATGATATAATATATTTGTTAGTCTCTAAGGTGCCACAGGATTGCTCATTGTTTTTAAAGTTACAGACTTCACCTGGCTATACTCTGATGCTTATGCAAGACATTTTTATTTTCCAGCAGCCAAATCTTGCAAAACACCCACTGAAACTAAGGGCAGGATCATGCTACATTTTCAAAACGTGCCCATTACAACAGTTGCTGAGACACCAACTTGTTAAAACAAGAAAATAACAATTTCAAATGCTATTTACAGCTCCCCCACCTCTAGGGCAAAATCTGCATTTTGAAAGGAGTACATCAACATACACCAGGGCGCTTTCGGAGCATGGAGTATTTGCATGCAGCAAGCTAGCATGAGACAGATTTACCCCTCAGCTTGCCACTTGCTGTTTGTATAGACATGCCTGTTGGCCTATCTGTACACCGGATAAGCTGTTGAGCTGTTGTACGAGGCGGTTCTATATGGAACAGATCTTAGGGTTAGACACAGTACATTTACATCAGAGCCTCAAAAGGCTGCACAAGAAGTTGTATCTTTCTATTGCTCAGCTGTATCAAGCCTTTGGTTTTTGGAACACATCCGTTATACAATCGGCTGCAAATACCCCGAGATGCCTGTAATGGTGGAATGTTAAGGACTAGATTGTTACAAATTGCTACTGATATGTAAGGAGAACTTCCCATTGAATTGGCTAGGAAGTGCTGCTCAAAAAAACAGATCCTTACATTATTGGCTTAATGTTCCATCAACCCCCCAACAGAGCCACCTTTTAAAATTGCACAGTCGAAGGCTTTATAACTCCATTTCCACCTGGCCACCAGAAAATTTCTGCTCTGATATCGTTAAGCATCTGAATTCGGAGCCTTTAAATTGAATTTTTTCCCCCTACATGCATGTTTCTGCTCAGAAATCTGGGCCAGGGACGATCATTCCCAAAGACAGCTCATGCTCTTATTAATGCAAGGTGCTTGCAGGAGTCCCATGACTTGTCTCTGCCCTGTAAAATTGAGTCTTGAAAAAGGATTATTGGGGTGACAGGAAACCTCGAGCCCCCATAAGCATTAAGTGATCCTCTTAAATGTTTTAGTAGGGTGGGGATTTGGGGCATAATCTCCTTCCCCATCCAGCATTATGCGCATGGGCAACATGCTGGTCTTATGTACAGGATGCCTGTAACTCAGATCAATATACAGGCTACATCGAGACTGGCATGATTTTCTGCAAATGCTTTTAACGGAAAAGTTTTCCGTTAAAAGCATTTTCGGAAAAGCGCGTCTAGATTGGCACGGACGCTTTTCTGCAAAAGCACTTTTTGCGGAAAACCGTCTGAGCCAATCTAGACGCGCTTTTGTGCAAAAAAGCCCCAATCGCCATTTTAGCCATCGAGGCTTTTTTGCACAAAACAGTACTGTGCTGTCTACACTGGCCCTCTTGCGCAAATGATTTGCGCAAGAGGGCTTTTGCCCAGACAGGAGCGGCATAGTATTTCTGCAAGAAGCACTGATTTCTTACATGAACTCGTCAGTGTTCTTGCGGAAATTCAAGCGGCCAGTGTAGACAGCTGGCAAGTTTTTCCACAAAAGCAGCTGATTTTGTGGAAAAACTTGCCAGTCTAGACACAGCCACAGAGCTTTGGGGAAGTATCATCTCTCCATTAAAACTAGCTTCTGATGACAGTTTCTTCTCAATCATGATCGGTGCTCTGCAGAAGCCTAAGAAAGATTTATTTGATCGACTAGATAGTTTTGTTTGTAAGCATTTGGGTCATCTCCTCCAAAGACAACAGCAAAACCCTCCCTCCACTGGTATGCTAAAGGATGCCGAAGGCTGAACTATGCCATTGTTTAAAGAAGCGATGGCTAGAAAAACTGCATGTACATTTGATGATCACGATCTAGTGCATGGCATGTTTTACAACCAGCTAGATTATCGTCACAAAAATGCATGGATCTATTGAATGTGAAAATGTGCATCAAACATGAAACGTATGTAGGATACCACCTTTATTAGACAAACCTATGATGTAACTCTTCCTCCCCCCCCTCCCCCCCATAGCCCTAGGTTCAATTTTTCCATACAATTAAAAGAATAGCTGGTAGGTGAACAGCTCTGTATCAGTTGTTGCTTAGGACATTTGCTGGAACCAGCATCTACATGAAGCTGTAGCTCTGCTGAATGGGAAGGACTTGTCCTGTTGCACATCGTATCAAATCAGCATAAGACCTATGAAACTCATGGGCCAGGTGTCATCTGGCGCTCCCCCTAAGAAGGAAAGGCGCATGCAAAAGTGCGTAGTCATTGGCTAGTCCCTCCATGCAAATTGAACAGATACTTTAACTCAACCAAGAGACTTATCCTTTCGGACCTTAATGTCCTTGGGTCCATTTCTTCAGAGGAGCCAACAGTAGATCAGCCTTGTGAGTTTTACTGGACTACAGGGTGAACCTCTCTAGTCCAGCACGCCAGTCAGGCAAGAGCCATGGGCTGGCATGATTTTAGTTTGCAAGATGGCCACTTATCATGGGTGTGGCCAAGTGTTCCACGGTCCCATCAAGTTTGTTTACAGCCGCCAGGCCTGACTCTCAGTGCTCTGTGCTGTTGTTTAGCTCTGCTTTACCCCAAAATGTCTTCGCAGAGCCCAGTGAGCAGTGAGCGTGTGGGTAATGTTGCTAGACCAGTGGGTCCCAACGTTTTTTATACTTTTAGCAAACTGGCAACACTTTATTTGCATATTCATTATGCAAACGACTATAGAAATAAAATGTTGCCTGTCTGCTTAGCCCCAACACAGCCCCTAGCTCCCCAGTGCCTAACACCCTTTGACTCCCCACCCCATGGCCTGTGCCTTTTGACCTTTTAACCTCTGACCCTACAAGCCAACACCTCCTTGCCCTGACTCCCACTCACCCAACAAGCTTTTGCCCTTTGACCCCCACCCCAGCCCCACACTCCCCAGAGTGAGGCTGCCCCCCAAGGAGCGTGGCTGTTACTGCTGCACAGGCAGGGGGCCTGGCTGTTGGTGGCACGTGTGCACTCCTTCCTCGTGCTCCCATGGGTAGAGGTGGGAGTGGGGAAGCATGGAGCCAGGTGGCCATCTTACGTGGGTGGGACGGGGGAGGAAGGCGCATCCTGCGCTGCCTCCTCCTGCCACCACCTCAGCCCCAGTGCTGCCGGCAGGCAAAATCAGCCAGCATGGCTGCCAGAGCTGAGCCGCCGTGAACAGCTGGTTTCAGCTCCGGCAGCAGTCGCAGACCGGCACCGGTCCATGGACCGACAGTTGGGAACGGCTGTGCTAGACACTACTGACCGCCTGCGGTCTGGCAAATTCTCTGGGTCAGCTCCACTCAGGACTCGAGGGTGCCAGACTAGAGAGGTTCAACCTAGAGGTCCATTAGCTTAGCAGAATAGTCGACCTATGCACCTAGTTCAGCCTGAGTGGAGCATGAAAAGCAGGGGCTAGTTTGTTACATTGATGTCGCTAGACACATTTCATAAGTCTCTTTCATTGCCATCGACGCTGTATTTGGAGAAGGCACGGTGTACATCCTGACCATTTTGAACCTGCTGCTAGAACAGGAATACAACACGCACAACGTGCTCTAACAACTCCCTGGGCTAAGCCTGTTTATGTCTCTTCTGTTTTGTAGGCTTTGTACAAACTGTATAGTGCAGCGGCAACCCACAGACATTTGTACCACCACGCGTTCCCTGCGCAGACATCGGAATCAACTGAAGGTTCAGAAAAGAAGACGATGTAAGCCTGATGTTCTCACAGAGGTGCATGAATGAAGCACATACACCGTTGCATCAGTTCAATACTTGCCTAGTTGTATTCATGTACAAGTTTTGAACCTCCAGAAATGGAACAGGGAAAACACGAAGATTTCACTCGTAAGGATGGTTTGATGTGTGTCTATTAATTTTCACAAAACGCTGTTTGATGGGAAGATGTAGGCATGTTTTTCATTTTATTTATATGTACATACTTTATTTTACTGCAAATGTATACACAACTCTTAATTTTTAATATCAAGCATAATTCTTGCCTGGTTTTGACTGATTTAAGAAATCTTGCTTTCCACTTAAAATTTAGTATGCAATATTATGAGATTAATAAAATGATGTGGTAATATGATAAAGTTTTCCAGATGCAAATCCTGTGGTAATATGATAAAGTTTTCCAGATGCAAATCCTAGCATTATTCAAGAGAACCACCTTCAAATATGATTCCCACATATGCTTGATCAAGTAAATATCACATAACCAAAGATTTGTTAATCAGCATTTTTCCTCATAATCACTATGATCTATACAATTACATCAACACATTAAAAATATATACTAACTTGCTTTGTCAGAAATTGTAAGGCCTCTCCTGCTGCTATGGTATGTTTAATGATGTTGTGAGGAAAGTACTGTATTCTTTTTCTTTTCATAATTTTAATGCACAAAAAGGTGACTTTGTACATGAATTTGAGTTTCACTGTTCCTGTGTATATATTTTCATTTAGTGCATAGAAAGTGTGTTGAGTTCAATTTTATTGTCTGAGTATTAAAGTTTCTTTTTGGTTCCTAAGAAGTTGATCAAATAATGGTGAGCAATTAATTCATTCCCTGGTGGGGTTTTTTTAGATCTTAACATGTAGGTTTATTTTCTATCATTTGATGAACACTGTGCTTTTCTTAAGACGTAAATCCACAAAAGGTAGCGGTTGCTTTTAGAAATGCACAGTGGAATTTGATTGTACTGATCATTCAGAGGGCGGTGGATTGGTCAGGACATTTTAAAATAAAAAAGTCACAGAGCAGCCATGGGACACTTAGAAAAGTCCTCACTTTAGAGGCAAATGGCATGCAGAGTTGCGGGTATGAAAATTCAACTATCGACACCTCTTTAAACTACAGTAGACTTGAGTCCGCCCTCAGCAGGCCTTGAATTTCAGCCCTTTGTACTTAGATAGCTAATGCATACTCACCCCTTTTAACTACTGATCAGCCTTATCGGCCTTTAATTCTAACATCGCCTAAGAAATAAATAATAGAGTAACTGGCTCAGGGGAGTGCCGAGTGCAGGAGAAGAAGGGTTGGGGTTGAGAGCGCTCCATTGGACAGCTGTTGCTGCTGCCTGGGAGTGAAGAACAGGCTCTCTTTTTAACCTTCCCCCGGGCTTCCTCCCTCACTGGGTCAGCGACATGTCCAGCTCTCACGTCAATACTTATTAGCCAGGTGGGCAGGGAGGGGGTCCCCAGCCTGTGTGTCAGAGGCTGGGAATGGGTGACAGGGAGGGATCACTGGATGATTCCCTGTTCTGTTCACTCCCTCTGGGGCACCTGGCATTAGCCTTTGAGCAGCTCCCGGTCAGCGGTGCAGCGGGGGGCAAAGGCAGCTCCCTGCCTCTCCTGGCCCTGCAGACCAGGCTGCACCCCAGAAGCAGCCGGTTCCCAGCCAAAGGGAGTGCGGAGCTAGTGCTCAGGGAAGGGGCAGTGCACAGAGCCAAGTGCGCTCTCTGCCCTCCCTGCATTTAGGAGCCAGGTCTGCTGCTGGCCGTTTCTGGGGCGCAGCACAGTCTGCGGTGCCAGGACAGGCAGGGAGCTGCCTTAGCGCCCCACTGCTCACCTGTTCCCCCTGCAGCAAGCAGACCAGTATCCTCTGGTCAAGGGGTTTGCATGGTTATGAGGGTCTCATTATAGAAGCAATTTCCTCTGACCTTAGAAAAAGGCCAAGCATATTTTTGCTGTATTTTGTTCAAATGTTCATCTCAGCAAAGCAAAGACATTCACACTTCCCTTAATGAAAACAAAATAGTGAAATTTATTGAATTGCTGGGATTTACAGGAAATGTGTTTTCTTTTTTGCAACGATATTTATTGCACTAAAAAGGAGCCATAAACGTCATCTCAGGACAATTATGAACCACAGGATGATATTGGAAGGGGCAGTCGTACAGGTTAAAAACTTCACGTGTGAAGGAAACCTTGTCACAATACAACATGTTTGCAAAAAATGCATCCCTGATTTTCCCCTTGAGATGTATGGCTGGTAAGTCCGAGAATGCTATTGCTTCCAACATGGCTCTAATTGCCTGGTTGTAAACTGCAGCTAGCTCAGCATTTAACCTCACACGGAGCAGCCTGCAGCAGGTTGGCCGTAAGGTGTGTCTACACTTGAAACGCTGCACGAACACAACTGAAGCACAGACGCTTACTACAGCAATGCAAGGGATTCACCCATCAGTGCAGATAATCCACCTTCCAGAAGCGCGGTAGCTAGATTGAGGAAAAATGCGTCTCTTGACCTCCAGCTGTTTACACCGAGGGTTTGGTCAGCTTCACTTTGTCTGTCAAGGGTATGAATTTTTTCCACACCTGAGCAATGTAGCTAGGTTGACCTACATCTGAACTGCAGACCTGCCCTTACTCTTCAAGGGACTGTAGCTATCTTGCCCCCATGACAAGCTCTGTGCAGATTTCTGGCAAATTTAAAGTGATACGATGCATATAACACAGAACGTAAGGCAACCTCATGCTTCATCAATGAAGCATTTTGTTTGGATTGAAAAAAAATCTACGCTTCTTCTAGTTAGTAACATGACTGAGTGTTACAGTATCCGTATCAGTGTCCGGTATATTAGAGCGGTAAACATCTTGGCTTAGATGTTGCACCAAAAATAGACTCTCCCCAGAGTCACAAGACAACAAATGTGTTTTGCATCCATGACATTCCTTATAATTGCATCTATCACCATGTAAAAATATATAGGCAGCTTCTTCATAGAGCTGGCTGCTAAAAGGATACCAGAATCATGTCGTGTTCCTCCAGAATGGTAGATAAAAACAACAACAAACATGTTTTTCATTCTATAAACAATATTTTATATATGTAGAAAAAAATTCAAGAGGCTAATTAATGACCAAGGTGCAACATCAACAAAAATAAGCTGCCTTTTAAACCAAAGCACTTCTTCATGGTTTAAAAAAAATCTGTTTTAAAGCTCTTAGTATCCTCCTGAAATTCCATTTTCAAAACCAGCCAGCTTAAAAATGCTTGCCGTGTTGTGCATACCACTGCTGCCTTTGCTTGCGGTGCTCCAGCTCCGTGAGAAGGGCTTGCCGGTACGCTTCGTAGAGTTTAACGATCCGTTCCAGTTCTTTCATGAAGAGCAGCTTCAACATTCCCTGGTATGTATCCAGATCAGCCAGCTGAAAGAGTTCCCACTTCAGAATGTGATCATATCTGTTTGGAGATATAAATATATGAGACGCACATTCACATGCCATTATAAGCAAATACATACGTAAGACACGAAGTATATCGTTCTGTCATTGCGGAACGACTGACGTTTTTAGTAGTTGACGCTCATAAACCTATTTCGTACAGCCACACTCTTCCACAATTAAAATTAGTCTTGTTAACCTTGACCGTAATTTGTTTCTTAAAAGAGGAAGAAATCTCACAAACCTAAACTGAGGAATCAGTCATTCCTTAGCTACATATTAATATAATAATACCAGATCCTTTTATAAGAACAATATAAAATGATTTAAAACACTTGCTAGCAAGTGCTGTTAACCAAATATAAGGCAAGCCAAAGCCTCCTGAGTAAGAGTAGTTTATAGGAGGAGGGGGAAGAAGGGGAAGAACCCTTCCTACTTCACTGTGGACAGCCTAGGAAGTCAACGGAGTAACTTGAAAAAAATAAACGAGTATGTCAATCGATTAACCCACCATTCCTAAACGCGAGCTCCAAGAAGGCAGAATTTCACAGGCTTTGCAAAGTCCCTTCTTCACCCATGGTATTGTTCTGCTCCTGAAGCTGCCTCTTTGCCTGGCCTGGATGACACTGTACTGCTCTTGCAATTCCTAGCTATAGTCGATGCTACACAGACTACGGCCAACGGAGCTCAGCGCGAACCCTTCATTTTACAATGAGACTTCTTAAGAGGGATCTGCTGTGGGAGTATCTTGCCACGTCACACTTCCACGGAATCCAGCAGAGGCGGCAAAATGAAAGTTGCCCAAATTTACCCTTGAAGAAGTAATTCAACGAGGAATCCAGGGATGGACTGGGACAAGAAACCAGGAGTGAGTGTGTGGGGAAGAGGAAGGATCAGAACAGGGATTGGTTGGGGAAGACAAGGGCAGGGGAGGTCAGTCTAGGGGTGGGACAGACAGAAGGACCGGTGGCCACCACTGAATTAGGGTTTTTTATCTGTAGGACCCCAGTCTAATCTGTTTGGGCACGTCTATACAGCAGTGTTATTTCAGAATAACATCATCCGCGTCTATACTACAAGCAGGCATTTCGACAATGTCAAAATAATGTCGAGATGGAGGACTTCTTCCTCCGACTCCTGTAACCCTCATTGCACAAGGAGTAAGGGAAGTCGAAGGAAGAGTGCTCTTCCTTTGACTTCCTGCTGTATAGACGGCACCAAAAGCTGAATTAAGCTATTTCAACTTAAGCTATGCAATTGATGTAGCTGAAGTTGCGTCGCTTATTTCAGCTTTAGCCCTGCTGTGTAGACATGCCCACTGTGAGAACTTGGAAGGTATGTAGTTGGGGATTGCAGGAAGACACCATATTTTCATAGGCAAGGCCATTAGTGTCCTGGAGAAGGATTCTATCCCTGCTTTTGCCACAGAATTCCTATATGATGCTGGTCAAGTCACTTAAACCCAACTTTTCATAGGTGGTCACTTCATTTTGTATTCTCTCTAGTGTAAGTGTGCACCTACTTGCTATAGGTACCAGTAAAATAAACATGATTAAAAATTAGATAATCTTCTCGGTCTGAAGAAACTAGACGAGAAAATGAAGCAGGAATTCTGTGGAAAAGGCAGGGACAGAATCCTTCTCCAGGACACTAATTGCCTTGGTGTGGGGGTGTGTGTGTGTGAGAGAGAGAGAGAGAGGAGAGAGAGAGAGAGCTCCCCCCGGCACTGACTTCTGCTCCCCCTGCTTCCTACCTCAGATATAGAGGCAGCAAGAGGGGCAGGGGAAATGCGAGTAGTTGACTTGACTACCGGATAAGCCTCGGCTTGTTGGGTAGTCGACTACTCTTTTACATCCCTAGATCAGACTTTTCATTACTTTTAATCTTATCCCATGACTGGGCAGTTACAGCACCAGATCCGTTCCTTTCCAAAACAACGAACCAGGGGAAAAACAGCTTCAGTGCTAACAACGGATTGGGGGCACTCACGGTTCGGAAAGCTGTGGGCTTCCAGGTGCACGACAGAACTGTGGTCATTAATCACCAGGCCAGTTATCCACTTCCAGGGCTTTAGGTGCTGGCTGCCAACAAGTGAGCACTATTTTTTGTTTTAAACATAGGCCCCTGGTTACTCCTGAATCAGCGCTAATTATAGATAATCCAATGCTTCCCCTTCCTGTCCCTGGAGAACTGTGCAAAGGAGCAGGATCTTTGATCCATGATTCCCCCTCCCTCCCGCCATTGTTGTCAGACGCTCGTCAATAAACAACATTTAGGGTTAGCACCAGGCTGCTAAATTTGGCTCTCAGCCAGGAACACTTTCTTCCTTAATTGGCAACAGCGAAGGGAACAAGGCTGCATGTCACACACCCAGACAAGCGGCGTCCAAAGGGGTTCTGCGACTTCATGGCCTTGATTTTATTTTTTGAAGCGGGATTGTGGGTTGCTATAATTGTGTGTCTTCTGGCAACCCGTCCGAAAGGAACCCCCCAAATTAGGGCTGCTCATTGTTTCCTGGTGCGGCAGCGCTAAACATCAGCTCCCAAGAGAAGGGTGGGACAGAGGATGAGGGATCTAATGAGAGAGTCGCTGAGCCACCAATCAGAATGAGGATGAAAGTTTACTGGAAGTACTCAGTTTCCCAGATAAGTTGATTACAGGGAGCAATGCAACAACAACGCCTTCTATTCCTGGCTTTCTAAATAATGGGTAAGAGGCTCTTCTCCCTGCAACTGGCAACACTTCCAACATCTACAGAAACAATCTAAACCACAATAATTTACCATCACCGGCTCCCCTGCACATAGACGGGCTGTTGCAACCCTAAAACAATCTAGATGACTGGCCAGTCCAAAAGGAGATTCTAGTTCAGGACTCTCACTTAGCATGGCAGACGTCCTACACCTCTTGGCAACACTTAATTTTAAACAGGGGGAGCTAGCTTCCTGCTCAGTGATCCCTCCCTTATATTGGGCCACTTTAAAAAAATTAGATCCCTGAGTTTATTATTTCATAGAATCATAGAACACTAGAACTGGAAGGGACCTCGAGAGGTCATCAAGTCCAG